ATGAAATAAAGCACAAATTAAACTTACACGATCAATAATGATACTTGGTGTAGGGGCGATCCAAATCTGATATTCTTCTTATTACTTTTCTAATATTCAGATTTATTCTCTATTTTAATTTCTTTTTAAAACCCGCCAGTTTGTATTACCCTACTACCTACCATTGCTTCGACGCTTTATTTGAGTGTGCTGTCAAAGCCTGACTTCACACTCTGTACCGATGAGCTCGTCGAAACCTCCAGATGACGCACTGAGCGCGCCGTCATATCCAAACAATATTATAAATGTGAAAGTGTGTTTGTTCTTTTTTCACGTCGAAACGGCTTGGCGGATTGACGTGATTTTTTGTGTGGAGATAGTTGGAGGACTGGAGAGTGACAAAAAGTTCTATAAAAGTTTCTTCTGTGAACAAACCTTTTTTTTAAAAAGGAATTTTGAATTACAGTTTATTTAAGCTTTTTCTTTCATGACCATAATATAGGACTATATCTATACTAATATTATAAAGGCGTAGTTTGTGAGTTTGTGAGATTGTCAGTTTGTGACGTTGTAGGGGGTAAACTCTGGATTTACTGAACCGATTTAGTTGAAACGTGGTAAGAAGATACTTTTTGTCCCGGAAATCATCCCTTAAGGGGGTGAAAATGGGGATGAAAGTTTGTACGGGGAATCAAGCTAGGGACGAACCCGAGCGAAGCGATGGCTAGTCGCTAGTATAATATAACTATGATATATCATATATCATAGTTATATTGTATTGCTAGTAGTAGCGGAATGTTCTTTATGTTTATTTATATGGTGACGTGTGTAAGGTTGCATTTTTATATATTGAGTGTTTTAATAGAAGACCTTGGCCGATAGGAATGTGTTTAAAAAAAATAAAAGAAGGGCGTGGATATTCATTTGTTTTCCCGCGCTTTTGCACAGAGATGTCGTTACCACCATGTAGTGATTAGGCACAAATTGTTTGTAATAATGAAAATTATGATTATAAATTATGTAACTCACTGCCGATTATAAAAGTACTGAATATAAGAATATAAGCAAGGAATATCTCGAAGTTTTATTTTAGGGGCCCAACACGTGACAGCTTATAATCCGTAAGCTAAAAAAAAGCACGGAAATACTACACTGACTTTAGTACATAATATAAATTAATTATTAATTTAAAATCATATATATAATCATATATTAATTTAATATCATAGTAATCTATACATATAATAATATCTTGAGTCGAATCTGTACATTAAATGTTTTTTTGACAAATCTTATTTAAATAGTCATTATTTATCATACAGAGGCCGAATCTATAGTTTTTAGAATTTTTGTCTGTCTGTCTGTGAACGCATCACAAGAAAAGCATTGGACAGATTTTTATGAAATTTTGTATAGTGACAGCTGCTTATCCGGGTCAACATATAGGATACTTTTTACTGCGGGAAAATATCTAATCTCGAAATCTATACTAAAGGTTAAAAGTTACACCGTAACTAGGGACGAACCCAAGCGGGCCGAGGATGAGTCGCTAGTTAACAACAGCAAAATAGTTGGGTTCCTTTTTCTCCTCTGTTGTCAACAGATTTTCTTTTATTTTTTGTTTAGTAAATATTGAATGTTATATTGATTGAAGTTTTCGTGTTATCAATAAAAAAAAAATTATGGTCGAATTTGGACTTCGGTGTGAACACTTCTTTTTGTTTATACACATTTTCGTTCTCTTATGAAAAGAGACAAGTAACAAAAACGTCGTCATATAAATCGGTATTAATATTAAAAGTGTGAAAGTTTGTAAGTATGGATGTTTGTTACTCTTTCACGCCAGAACGACTGAACGGATCTGGATGAAATTTGGCACAGAGATAGATTATAGTCTGGAATAACACATGAATATGCTAATTTTTGTCCCGAAAAAATGTAGGGTTTCCATGGGATATGTTTGTTTTTGTTTTCCCAGTTTTTAGTATTAATTTTCTAGGTTTCTAGTTTTAATATAAAAAAGTTTAAGATGAACCCGTCAAAGCCAGTAGTTCACATAGCATGTAGGCCTCGTACATGTAGAAGCGATAAAAGGAGTATGACGTCACTCATCGATCCGTCCTTCGGCGATTTAGAACGTTGAAGAGGGGTCAATATTACAAGGTTCTATGTTACAATTTTAGTACTTATTTAGTTATTAATGCTACAAGGTCCTATGTGTCATTAACTCCAGTTTTGCAAAAAACAAACCACTAGATAGCGGCACTTTGACTTTAAAATATTCAATTTTACATAGTTCTATATTGTTTTTTTTTACGATAACAAAATAACGAAGTTCTATGTAAAAATTACTAAACTTCATTAAAATTAACATAGAACCTTGTAATAATAAGCCAACGATTATGTTGATTGAGGTTATTTATGTTTGTTTAATATGAAATACTTATTTATATATGAACTATCGACTTGCCCACGTTTCGCTCATACAATCATATAATATTCCAAACACACTGAAAATGAGTTTTTATTTGTTGATATGATTAAAAAACAAAACTTATTTAATTTCTCATGAACTCCTTTACCCTTATAAGTGCAAATTTTGGTAAACTGAAAAAAAATTAAACGTGTAGAATGCATACTATAGGAATACAGACTAAATTTATGAGCTTACAATTTTAATTCAAAATTACATTTCTTCATTGAATATAGATTAAATAGGTCCACACAGTCAGGATCTAAATATCACTATAGTGCCTACATATTGAATCTACTGTTACATAAAAAATATTAACAAACCAATATAAATAAGTAAATCAAGATCTAGTTCATAACAAAGGTATTTTACTTAAGAGGGAGCGAATATGGACTTACAGTTGTAGCAGGATGACGTCATGCTATTTAGTTAATCTGGCAAAGTTGCTTCTACATAGATTACAGATCCCAACCACTCCTATTTCACATCTCGATCTTATAAGTTTTGTTGTCTATAAGCAAAAGTTGTCCAAACAAAAGTATCGTCTGTATTAGTGAAAATCACGTTTCAAGTGGATCGCATTGGTTGACACCGGGGGGTGTCAGCGAACTTTAACGGAATTTGCATGTTCGTGACGTCACTGACACCCGGGAGTGTCAGCGCCCGTCAACGAGTACTTTTCCTTCATTCGCATAGAATAGTTATAAAAAACAGTTAAAATACCTTAGATGATAGATATAATTAAAGACGTATAAACATCAGTTGTTATAATTTTTTAACGTAGTTTCACTTTTTAGTAGGTTCTAGTTTAATTTATACGTGGTTTTTGTCAGTAATCCAATGGCAACCGGTTACACGCAAATGAGTGGTCAAGACAATATGCTCTCAGAAAGTCTCTGTTTAGATTTCAGTTTCGTAAACGCTTGGCATTTTGTAGCTTTTTGAGAATATATATAGGCATGTATATATAGGAGACCATCCATATATATATATATATATATATATATATATATATATATATATATATATATATGGTCTCCTAGGAACGTGCTTCTGTAACTATAGCAGTTAAGGTACCTGCCCCTTCGGTTCCGTCTCAAAAATCCACCCTACAAAATATGCACGTTTTTCTAAAACAAACTGTGATAGTACTCGTATTTAAATGTTTTATGTGATTATTAATTATTGTTTTACTTTTCACTACTTTTTCTTGATTTATTTCTATGAACATCCTGAATTCTAGTGTCTATAAATATTATATGTATATTTTTAATATTTATTATACATTTTGCAAGATTATTCTGCTTTACATCCCTTATACAATTTTTTAAATCGTTAATACAACTGTAAAAAAATACCTTTTAAAGTATATAATTTGGTTTCATAGTTTAAGAGATAATAAAACTGACAATACACTTGAGTCAAATGACTGTGACGTACAAACATACAGGCAAGACAAAATTATAAGAGTCCCGTTCACGACGAAACTCTAGAGAATAAAAATGACACAAACAATTTTGCATAAAAAATAGTAGTTCAATATTTACCCACTAGATGGCGGTACTAGTAAGCTGCATCGCGCAAGCGTTACGTTCATTTTGTAGCATCTTGACCGAGGGAGGCTCAAGAGTAATCGTAGGTACGATTAAATCTTCGAATAGTGAATTTTTGAGATGCGTGCTTTTGGAGTACGTATAACAATATAGATATCTTTATTTATAAAAATTAAAAATCGATGTGTGTTATGTGTATGTATGTTTAATGTTCCCTACGGTCTCCCAAAACGGCTGGAGCAATTTTGATGAAATTTTCAGGCAATCAGTTAGTGATGTGCCAACTCGGAAAAATCGAACTCGAGTTACGTAACTCGAGGTAACTGGATGAAAAATGAAGTGAGTGTTTTGTTTTGTTTGTACCAATTTAATGATTCGGCTTCGCAACACTATTAAAAAATGGTACAGATTCGTAATAAATATTTATTGGGACAATCATAATTATTTATATTTTTTATATTATTTATTTATATTATTACTAGCAGAACCCGCGGCTTCGCTCGCGCGAAACCTTCAAAAATACACTAAATAGGCAGGTTTCGTACAAACTTTCATCCCCTATTTTATCCCCATACGGAATATACAGCATTTATTTATTATTATTATATATACAACATACTTATTATATATACAACATTTATTTACATACAGGTATATTAATAATAAATACTTCTAAAACTTTTTTACTACTTTTTCCACAAAACAACAAATGAACTTTTTCTCCGATGTAACAGATAAAACAATGCGAGAAACTGAACAATTGAACGTCAATCTGTGAACTCACTTTTTTAAATGGAGATTTATAACCAAAATTTTTCACACAACCCACAAACAAACACAACAAAAAAATAATTAGCCAGATAGGTGCAGCCGTTCTGAAGTAATTCATTTACATACATTTAGCAACTGGTTTTTATTTATATAGAAGGAGATAAAACAAGAAAGTGAATAATTTTAAGCAAATAATAACACTATCAACATTTAGTTTAACTTCAAAGAAATTTCAGTAAAACGAAAACTATAAGTAATACATTTTGTGGTAACCTATCGCTGCCATTAATTGATATACGGATTCGTTTATATCTCCTTTCATTCTTCTTCTGTTTTAGACAAGCTTCAGCACCAGTAAGAGAATGGTTATTAATAACACAACGGTAGAAATCAGCAGATATTCGAGCTTGCCTTGACCGATTCGGATCTTCGAAATCTACTTCATAAAGGCCGAATTTTATCCTGAAAAATTATATTCACACTTTCAATTAATCTGCTAAATTATATGTTCCTATATACTTATAAATTAAATTGATATCTGTAACTCCATAATAACTAGATCATATTTAGTTTGGACTATAATATATTATAATATGTAGTAGTATATAATAAGTATATAGTAATGTTTAAAAAAAGTTACGTCTTGCCAATAGATGGAATATTCGAGCAAAAATAACACACTGCTTTTAATCCCAGTAAAAGAATATTCTCACAAGATAAAGTTGTATCGGACTTTTAGAGAAGAAGAAATTCAGGTAAAAATGACTTTTTGTACTGCGTAAAAAGTTTTCCATGAGATAGATATTTAAAGTTTTGTAGAACTTGATGTAACATATGCCGATGATAGCTGATGCCAAAGTGAAAAAGTGATCGGGTTATTTATTAGCGTGTTTGTAATTTCAGTGTGAAATACAGAATGGAGAAAGGTTATCTCTTTATATCTTGAATTAACAAATAACCTATTTTTTATCGACCTATCAATATATAATATTTGCGGAATCAAAATAACAAAAGAAAATCTTAAATGACTACTTACGAATAACCATCTGTCCACTCGAAGTTGTCGATAAGTGACCAAACAGTGTAACCAATAACACTTACGTTATCTTTTTTGATGGACAATAGTACCTGAAAACGTAACAAATATTTACTATAGCCTTTCAGAGAAAATACTTCACTAATATTTTGCATACGACAACTTCGTATGAACTTCGGCTTCGTATGCTTTGACACGGCTTGGTACTGGAATCTTAACAGGTATTTATAGGAAAGTAACATCACTATTCATCTATTTATTATCGGTGAAGGAAAACATCGTGAGGAAACCTGCATGTCTGAGAAAACCTAGCAAATTTTTGAAAGACATGTGAAGTCCGCCAACCCGCACTTGGCCAGCGTGGTGTTATGGCCTGATCCCCCTCGCATTGAAGGGAGGCCCGTGCCCAGCAGTGGGACGTTAAAAAGGGCTGAATACATACAACATCACTATTACATATTTAGTGACAGATGTAAGTAGTTACATAACCATTTAATAACGGAACAACTCAGCCTTTTCCGACTTTACAGAATATATTAAACTTTCAGTCCATTTATAGAAAAACTATTGAGCTTGTCAAGGTCCCATGAAGTCTTCTCAAGAATCGGGTGATACGTCACTAGACGTCTTCTATCTATTCTAAAAGAAAAAATATATAATATATTACAATTATATACTTGTTCTAAATTTTCTTTAATGAATTCAGCTCTATCATAGTCGTTCAGTTTACGTCCAATTGTGGAAAAGCCATTCTCCGTGATCAAAATGTCGATGCCATTATATTCTTCATGCAACCATTTCAACTGTCGTCGTAAGCCTTCTGGATAAACCTGAAGATGTAGATATGGATGTGTAAGTTACAAACAGTATATGCACATAATATGTATGTTTTATAAATATGGTATATGGTATTGTCTGCCTCGGTGGTCGCGTGGCCAGAATGTACTGTAGCAAAACTGGAGATCCTGGGTTGAGTTCCGTTTTAGGCCAAGTTTAGTTATTGACTTTTAGTGAGTCTCAGTGATATTGGCCGTCGAGAACAAATCGGTCAGGAGGGCAAAATTATTATGTTTTATAAAATTTTAAGCTTCAATTTGAGATGGACTTAATACCAAAGTTTCCTGCTTCAATTTTCAATACTGTTGAGATTTTTTTCGGAATTAGTGGTACAATCTTACTTTCAATAAGCAAATTTACACATAGAAAAAACTTGCTCACATTTTATGTGAATAGCTTTCAATGAAATTATTTGAAGAAATATTTATAGTACTGTATTAAATCGGAAACAAAAAGGTTCCTCTAGAAATCACATAGCAATTAGTATGAAGTTATTATAAAGGATACGGAGGTATTGATATGTGATCTAAAGTTCTGTTTTGATTAAAAAAATGCAACAAATTCTCATTTGATTCAATTACTAAAACTTAAAACATAAAAAATTGTCGGTTTAAATTTGAACTATGGTAAAAAAGGCATTTATTGCATGGATTGTCAACGTGACATCAATATTCATTTCATTTTACTTTGCATTATTCAAGTAGTTTAATACATACAGGTAGAATATTCAAAGCTCCTAAATTTGAATTTGGTGGTTTCTCCAAAATAGCATTAAGTTCAGGAGACCCATTTATGAACCAGATGCCCATATTTTCTCCAGGTTTTGCAGGTCTTATCAAATTTGTTGTGTAATGGTTTAACCCGAGGAAATCCGCTGTACCTAAAAGCAACAAGAAAAATATATTGCGTTCTTATCAATCTTTCTTCAAAACCGTAAAAATACATTTAAATTTTGTATCTTTAAAATATGTGAAGGTTTCTACCTTTCATAAAATTAATTTCTTCTTTTGTAAAAGCTGGTAGTCTGGATTGACTGAAGCCTTCTTTCAAACTGTATTCCAACATAAGCTTTTCAATAGTTGGCGGCCACCCTCCTTTTTTGCTCATAATTGGATGACAATATCGACCAGCCTGAAAATAAAAAATCTATTAGACATCTTGTAAAACGCCATAGAAATTATTTTTCCAAGTGACAAAGCTTCATTTAATACAAAGTTTCTTGCTATCATTAATAAAAAAAAACGCCTACCGAATGCTGCCTCCCTAATTCCGCTAATGCTGTATCATTTTTTATAGCGGGCTCAATCCATAAAATATTATTTGCAAGAGATACTCGACCTGCAATTATAGAAAAAGTATTTACAGTTATTTTATTTCATACTAGCGTAGAGCTCCATAGATTAGTAAAAAAATGTGCTAAAAGCTAAATAAAATATTTTTTTCATTTATGTCGCCAAGCGTTAATTATTTTCATTCCATATCATCTCTTTTTCGGTATTTGAATTTATTAACCGATCTCCGAAGAGGAGGTCCCACTTAAATTTTATCAAAATTGGTCGAGTGGTTTTAAAAAAATCGACAATAAATTATATTTTTAAATAAATTGCTTAATCAAATATGTTATTAAAAAACTTTCTTCTTACAAATTACCTGCTTATTACGTCTACACTAAAAATGGAAAAATAAAAACTTTTTAAAATAACTTCCAGGCACTAAAATGTAAAAATAACTAAACGGGGGTTTATTAAGAATAGATACCTAATTAGATATTTTCGAAGTCGGTGACAGCCGACAATATTTTAAGATATAAATATCTAATAAGTAAATATGATTAGGTATGAACTCTAATTATAATTAAAATATGTCATCAATTTGTGATGTATTTTACTGATCGAAATATATTAGATTTGCTTTGAATCGCCTTGCTTTGGGGGTTTGTCAGAAAAAATTTGCTCCAAGCTATTTATAATAAAAAAAGTTTATTGAATTTTTTTTTAATGTAAAAGAACTCTTTTCCTATGACAAATTAGTACCAATTGAAAGTAAAAGACTTATAGGGACCAGGGATTTGAACCCGTTTGGTTTTACTAAACAAGTACGATTCTACTGGGTTATACACTGCCTTTTATTATAATTAAATATAATTACCTTGATACTTAGGCCTAAACTCCCGGTCAAATATTCTATATGCTTTAGCATGTGCTAGTAATATGTACTTGTTACACAAAAATGGGGCATATACTGATTCTTTTATCCCCGGAGCAAGTATACCTATATTATACATGTAGTCACAGACTGATATAGCTTCGTTAATTGTTAGCCAGGTCTTTACTCTATCAGCGTATAGTGAGTAAATAACCCTAGCGTAATCTCCGAACCAATCAACGATGTGCGGATTTGTCCAACCACCTGGAAAGAAAAGTTAGAAATAAATTTATTCACACTAATATAAATAAAATTTGTGTGTTTGTTTGTTCGAAATAATCTCTGGAAGTAGAGATCCGATTTTAATATTTTATTCTTAAAGCTGAACTCACAGGATAGAAAGCTACGATATAATTTTACTAGACAAATATTATTATTATAATGGATATTAAGTTTAACATTTCTAATTAATTGTAATATTTTCTCGATTTTCTTATAGCCCAATTTTTTTATCTTTGGTTTTCTGCAGCTACGAATAATATCAATGCAAATTATGTTTAGATTCATACTAATATTATAAATGATAAAGCAACGGTTAAACCGTTCAAGAAATATTGATATTTGGCAATGACATACATAGATTGCATCCTAGCATGAGACATAGACTATAACTCTACTAAAAACTAGTAATAAATAAATATAATATACCCATATCCTGTATCTTAACAGGTAATTCCCAATGGTAGAGCGTGATGACAGGTTCAACGCCCTTGGCAAGTAAAGCATCTATTAAGTCACTGTAGTATTTAGCTCCAGCCTCATTGAATTCATTAGTGAAGCCATTTGGAAGAATACGCGCCCAATTTATTGAAAATCTGAGGACGCAATTTGGAAAACAATATTAGTAATAATCATGCCCTTCTGATTGATTTTAGCTACGGTGGCCAATATAAATGAGACTAGCCAACCGCGCAGGAGATATTATAGTATATAAGTATCCACGACAAAATAGAGACACTGTATTTCTGTAACTCTTTTAATTCGAAATGACCGGAAGTCGAATGTACTTCACATCTCCTGGCTGTTCCTAAGAATTTCTGTCAGAAAATATCAACTACTAGACTTGGCCTAAGACTCGAACCGAGTTATTATAAAGTTAATTTCGTACAACGGCATACTTACAATCTACAATTGTCAAATGATAAATGACAATATTTTTTTTTAATTTACTTCTTTTATTCTTCATGCAGATAACGAAATGACTCATTATTCACTCTTCAAAAAGAAGAAGGTAGGTACTAAATTTGACTGTATTATTTGTGGGTATGTTATGCGATATATTCGAACATGAAGAAGCAAATTTTAAAAATCTTTAAAAAAAGTTTGTACCTCAATTTAAAAAAAAAACACCTCTAAAGGGATCCAAACCTCTTCCAAAATCACAAAGATAGTCACCACGATTACTTTAATGTGATTTTAAAGTCGGTGAAACTAGTTTAGTAAAAATCGGTTAAAATTTTAACTAAATTTTAATCACTTAAGTACTCTTAAATCACTCAACGTAATAGATACGTATAATAGATATATATGCCTACCTGTAAAAATGTAAGCCAAGTTCGGCAGCAGCATTTACGTCATCTCGATATCGATGATAGGAATCTGCTGCTATGTCTCCAGTTGCTCCACCTTTGATTTTTTCTGGATGGGTGTGCACAAATCTATCCCAAATATTTAAACCTTTTCCTAAAAACGTTTTTTAATAGTTTTTATTTTATTTATTTCATCTATTTTATTTCAATTCAATTCAATTTTCATGTTGATGGCTTTAAAGCGTGCCAGTTCAGCACAGATTACCTACTTCGCCAATGTCACGTAGAACGGAGAAAACATTCATTTTAATCAATCAATTAATAATTTTAATCAAAATAAATTATTAATATTATTGATAATTTTTGTAAAAACATCGTATAGACATCCAATCTAATCGAATATCCAATTCGAATGTTTATAGAACCATAAGTATTAAAATATCGATTTTTATTTATGTCTTTTATTTATTTTTTTGCTTTTTAACAACAAGAATAAACAGTAAAATACTTTCCCATCTTTTTTTACGGATAACTTTATACAGAAATATTTAAATATTTTTATAAATTAATATTTTTATTTAAGTTTTACCATCGGCATCCCATCCTCCCTCTACCTGGTAAGCTGAAGTCGCTGCTCCGAATTTAAAGTTAGGAGGGAAACGTTGATCGATACTTAAAGTGACTTGCAATAGTGAACTAAAATGAAAAAAAAAAATACTTGTTTTATTTTGTAACGAAATGTAGCAGACAGTATTAGTCGAGAAAAAGTAAAATGACACTTGACAGTATACCCGATTGGCCCAAAATTAGCATAAATGCTTGTTATTAATATATTTTATGCTTTATGTGTGAGCTATTTGTAGTTTTAGTTATTGAGTCTCTGTTTAGGAAGTGTCAGTAACAGCTCGGAGTTGGGAAGTTTTTGGTGTCTCACCCCCGTGCCTATGAGAGCACGTAAAGCGTCGGTCCTGCGCCTTCACTCTCAACGATCGTGTCGAATAGTCGTCCCACCGGAGTATGAGAGTGACAGGAATAGAGAGTGCACGTTGTGTCTGCGCGTACGATTGTGCACTATAAAATCTCCTGCGCAGTTGGCTAGTCTCAATGAGATTGGCCGCCGTTACCGGAATCGGTCAGGTCTTATATATCGAAAAATATAGATAATGTGATAAGTTATATTTATTGCAATTACGAACACAGGCGTTACTCGTTGATCGACTTCAAAAAATAAATCATACACAAACACGCCATAATCTGTCTTTTGCTGTTCTTTTTTGTGAATAACAATTTTAACGCAATGGATTGCACTGTGTTCAACATTATGTATAAAATAACACAAATTGGCTTCTACAAACTCCATTTAAAATCAATTTCCAAATAAAATATAGTTGTGACTTAAACAGAGAAACATTCACGTTATTTTTAATATATATCTTTTTGTTGTCTTAAGTTTTGTCGTTACGCTACACAATAGCAGTATTACTAAAAATGTTTTGCAGTTGCAATACAACGTCGTTCTTTTGGTAATAAAATAAATAAGACACACATGAGCACGTTTTAATGAACAAAAGACAACCGTGAGTCTAACTCGCGCGCGGAGTTTTCCGTACTATAACATTAAATTGGCATTATGTTTTAACTTACGTAATTTGTATTGGCCACTCACTAAACTGATTATTTAAATTGACATAGCTTTTTTATTTATTAACCGATTGAAATAAAACAATACGTTTGTGAAAACGCACCCAAATCGGTTTAACCATTTCTGAGATTAGCGCGCACAAACGCGTTGACAAACAGACAAAATTCTAAAAGCCATTGTTTTGCGTTCTATATCTTTAATCTTTGATCAGCAATAGTATTCTTGATCGAAGGCGTTAAAAAAGACTTCCAATAATAGTTTTTCTCAAATATCTTTCATGTACAGACAACGACCAGTTACGCTCTTATTATATGTATAGATTACCTCAATTACAATTTTTCATCCAATTCTTTAAAAGTTGAAGTTTAACGGTGAAAAGAAAATGAGGGACGCGTATATGATTATTAAAGTATATAACTCAGTAAATATATAGGCTTAAATAAAAAAGTCCATATGAAACATTTTATTTGTAAATCCTTATTTGGCTTTTTATTTTCTGTAATTTGGTTTTATCATTGTTTTGCGCTTACCAAGGTAATAACTAATAAGTCTTTACAATTAAGGCGTTGCAAGTTTCCTTGCGATGTTTACTTGACTCAAGAGTCACCTCAAAAAATTTAGCGATTCAGACAGTATATATCCCTATTTAAAAACTCCGATAGGATCCCATCAAAAACGACAAAAACCACATAGAAACCAATAAATAAATATTTATTACCAATAAATAAATATTTATTGGTTTCTATGTGGTTTTTGTCGCTTTTGATTTGATTCTATTGGAGTTTTTCAACAGGGATGCGTGTAAAGTAGCTAAATAATTCGAATAGACGGACATGACTACAGTATGTAGATTTCGCAACCCTAAAAATACATTCACTTATAAAGTCATAACAGCTCGTACCTTTACTTATCCGGTCCGATATTGGTCTGGTAAAGTATTTTTATACCAATAAACAATGAGTGCATTCACATTATCAGTAAGAGTTAATTTCCGTTTGAATCATCATCCAGCAAAGTTTTTTCCTCAGTCCGTATTGTTTAACGGCAGATTACAACAATCTATCTGTGGTTTTTTCTAATATCAATAAACAGTTTGTTAATATGTTTGTTTGTTCGTTCGTTTATTTATTTGTTTGTTTGTTTATATGATATATATGATAGCCCTTCCATTAAAGAAGGCTTTAGGCTATATATCATATAATGTGTAGTCTATCTATTCCATACTAACCGTTAAAACATACCTAGTATTTTATAAACAAGGAATTTAATTGGTTGTTTTTAACTATTCATGTTATATGTTAACGACATTTTAATTCATTAATTAGTTACCAATTTAATAAGTATGTTAATTATGTTACAGTTAGGATAATTAATTGGGACAAAATAATGTTAATAGAGTCGATCACAGTCCGGTCTCGTTCGAAATCGGTCTGGTATTATTATTAGAATATGCTGAGCAATTTTCTTCTTCTCTGTTCAGAGCCTTTTTCTCCTCTGCTTGTCAACTAAACTTTTTTTTGTTTAGTATGATTGTGATTATGATTGATTTTCGACCACTGGGTGAGGACCAGTTATTATAAATCTATTATTATTACAAACTTCAAAGCACAATTTCTGTGAGAAAAGTAAATGAGGTACACAGATTTTTCATTTTTATTTTCAATCTTTGAAATAAGTAAAAGTTTACAAAATGTCAAATATTCGCATAAATCTAAGAAAGTTTAATTTAAGTATTAGTGTGACCAAGACAATTATTTACCTACAACAAAAATCGAACTTACATCTATCACAGCACTAGGCTATATCGTATAGATTTGGTCTACACAATTACAAAAGAATTTAATTATAAAAAATAAACAACAACAATTGGTATCGCAATTATCTTCGGTTTAGTATTGATAGTAGCGACTGCTAAGTTAATTATCATAAGAAGCTATCAAAACCAATGCCATCTTATAAGGTCTTATGTTTTTCCTTAAAACCTTAATTTTATCGTATACTAGCGACTCTCACTTTGCTCGGCTTCGTCCCTATTTTGCTTCCCTATACAAACTTTAACCCCCATTTTCACCCCCTTAAGGGATGATTTCCAGGATTAAAACTATGCTTTGTCCTTTCCAGGGTCTCAAACTATCTTATTACCAAATTTCATCTAAATCGGTTCACTAGTTTCGGAGCATATTCGACACCAATAAAAGAAACAAACAATCAAATCTTTTCTCTTTATAATATTAGTACGTACAATATACCTTAGTAGGTACCTATTAGTAGGTACAATGTACATATAGAAAAATCTTGGTCAATTTAAACTATTCACATGTACCGTTGATAGAAAATATGGAAATGATGGACTAAGATCCCAAGTAAGTTTATCCCTGATGCATCGCAAACGACGAAAAATCTATACATATAATAAAATTGTAACTAAACCGAATTTGTACATTAAATATTTTTTGGAAAATCTTATTGAAATAAACATTATTATCGATACAGAGGCCGAATCTATAGTTTTTAGAATTTTTGTCTGTCTGTCTGTTACCGCATCACAGAAAAACCACTGGAGGGATTTTGATGTAATTTGGTATGGTGATAGCTGGTTATCCGGGTCAACATATAGGATACTTTTTGCCGCGGGAAAATATCTCATTTCTAAGAAAAAATACAAAAACTGCAGTGTAATAGTGTATACTAATATGTAAAACCTAATAATTTGGTTTTTGGTGATCTAATCGCGGGCGGAGCCACAGGCAATGCTAGTAATATTATAATAAATATAACCAGAGTATTATTATAAATGTGAAAGTTTACATGTGAGTATGTTTGTTACATCTGCACTCTGAAACGGCTGGACGAATTTGGATGAAACTTAGTACACGATAGACTTTACCAACGTATAAAAGACTGTTAGGCAGGGCTTGGAGCCAATTTAGAAAAAAAAAACAGTTTACTTCGGTGATGTACTGGTTAATTAATCGGTAAACCGAAATAATGATAGATGACTATTATTCTTAAAGAAAGGTTAGACTTCGGTTTTGATACCGAAATAAACCGGTTAATTCATTCATAAGTAAGAAACGTACATGTAGTCTTCTACTACGCAATTGACCCTTAGCAAAGATTCGCCAAATGTAAACGTACAGAATCTCATTTTAATCGGTTAATTTCGAATATAGAAACTAAATTCATCAAAACCGTTCTTTGGGCTTTAACCGATCAAAGAACGTAACCGAAACCTTAAATTAAAAAGCCTTTCGGTTTGGGGTCAATGATCAAAACTGGTTTAAAAATTGAACGGGATTCCGAGCCCTGCTTTTGGACCTATAGACATGAGCAAAGCAAAGGTACGTTACTAGTATTTTGTAGACGGATGATTTTTTTTATTATAAACACTTTATACTATTGAATGTGCAATTCTTGGTTATACATGTACAAAATTTCGTGTATCTCGAAAAAAGTTCTAACAATTTGGATCAATTATTTTATTTAGATAAGATTTTGCCTTTTAAGGTGATGTCGTTTCTGAAAAAATATATCATTTTTTATAACTTTTCTGATAAAACGCCAATCGTACCTCGGCCACCCAAGTACTAATATATATATAATACTAGCGACTCACCCTCGCTTCTCTTAGGTTCATCTCTAGGTGCGTTTAAACATTTAATATGGTATACTCGTAGATAGACTATATATCTATACATATAATAAAATTGTAACTAAGCCGAGTCTGTACATTAGATTTTTTTGGAAAATCTTATTGAAATATACATTATTATCGATACAGAGGTCGAATCTATAGTTTTTAGAATTTTTGTCTGTCTGTCTATTTGTTATCGCATCACAGAAAAACCACTGGAGGGATTTTGCTGAAATTTGGTATGGTGATAGTTGGTTATCTGGGTCAACGTATATGATATTTTTTACCGCGCGAAAATATCTCATTTTAGAGAAAAAATACAAAATCTGCAATATAAGAGTAACTAATATGTAAAACCTAAGAATTTGGTTTTTGGTCATCTTAATGCGGGCGGAGCCGCAGGCAATGCTAGTTTATATTAAAAATCTACTTAAGTAGATTTTTAATATAAACCTACCTCAATTTACCTAAAATTTACCTCCAGGTAAATTTCTTAGAAATTAATTAATTTTCTAAGAAATCTATTGTTAACTGATACGCCGGCGTGACCGCGGTCGTGGAGGGGCTAAATAACGGCAATATTTTGCTATCCATATCATACTATATACATACTTAACCCGTATCTGTATAACTTAATAAGCATTCTAATTCAGGTATCTAAAGACTGTACTAGTCAGAATATTAGAAAATGCAAGTTAAAACTAACAAAACCACAGTTAATCTGTTAAAAAGCTTATTTTGGTTAAGTAAAATTTAAAAAAAAAATCACGCACTATGTAAAACGTCACTTCACTTTAATGCGTTACCTAATATCATATTATGATGAGTTCAGACTTACCAAAGAACGACTGCTTTAAACAAAAACATCTTTATTACTAAAATACGGTAGCACTGTTACATCTTATATTTTAACTATCATGTTATCGGAACTATCAGAAATCAGTAAATAAGAAGAATGACCAGTTTCTTTTCAAGTTTAAATGAAAGTGGTAATAAAAAGTGGTTTAATGGAAATGGTAAGACAAATGGTAATCATGTTGGAAATAATTTGTTCATGAAAATTTCAGAGTTGCGTGCGAGACCCGGGATTATGACCCGCTTCACTCGGTTTCCCAAGCGAGCGCGTTACCACTGGGCAACCACTGCCTCAAATCTATATTTATATTTAATACTAGCGGTTCACCCTCGCTTCGCTTGGGTTCACCTCAAGAAAAACAAAGAGATCTATCCCGTTCATTTTTCCGGGATGAAAAGTAACCTGTTGCTTGACTAGTAATATAAGGCATGCCAAATTTTACCAAATTGCAGTGCATAAGTTGTTGTGTACTAAGCTGTATAAGTTACTATAGTTTTTTAACTATCCCACGGGAACTCTTTAATTTTCCGGGATGAAAAGTATTTAAGATGTTGCCCGGGGATATAAGGTACCACCATGCAAAATTTCATTTAAATGGGTCTAATAGATTCGGAGATTAGCTCGTACTAACAGACAGAGTAACAAAAAATTTGAAAAAAATCTGTATTTGTTCTATTTGTCTTCTTACATCCCCCTGACTCGGTTTTTAGCATTTTTTTCTGTGTACAGACATTCGACCTCTACAGTTTTATTATAGTGTAGATATGTAGTGTATGTATTCAGCCCTTTTTAACGTCCCACTGCTGGGCACGGGCCTCCCTTCAATACGAGGGAGATCAGGCCATAGTCCACTACGCTGCCAAGTGCGGGTGGACTTCACATGTCTGTCAAAAACTTGCTACGTTCTTTCAGACATACAGATTTCTACACGATGTTTTCCTTCACCGTGCGACAAGTTGTAATCATGTTGGAAATGATTTGCACATGAAAATATTACAGGTGTGAGACCCAGGATTTGAACCCACTTTCTCGGTTTCATAAGTAAGCACGTTACTACTGGGCTATCACTGCGCTTTAAGTTAATATTTATGTATATCTAATTATAGGAATCGCCGTCAATCTGTCCAATAAAGTATTGTACATTGTACATTTAGAATCATCATAATTAGCTAATTGAGATGTTCACAGAATTTATATTATTGAAGCGCAATTCCCACTAAATATTTAGTAGAATATAATGAATTACAATAAATTAACATAAACCAAACAGTAAAATGCATTTAGTTCTTTTTGTTGTTTTTGCTCTAATGTTAAAACGATAAGAAATATATACGTCAAACTTGTGCTTTCTATGGTGCAAAGCTAAAGCGTTAAGAGGTAATGATTTTTTTATTTACTAGCAGAACCCGCGGTTTTGCTAGCGCTAAAACTACAAAAAAGCTCTAAAAAGGTAGGTTTCATAGAAACTTTCATTCCGTATTTTACAGCCTTATATAATGAATTTCGAAAAATGCTTAAACACGTATTTATTTACTCGTAATTGTATTGAACAGCATTAATACCAAGTTTCAAGTAATTCTGATCATAAATAAGTTTTGGGTTGTATTATAACATTTTTTCCCGTGGGATTGAGATAATCTCTCGCGTTAAAAACTTCAGCTCTCCAACTATCTCCACACAAAAAATCACGCTAATCCGTCACTCTTTTTCGATGTGAAAGCAGAACAAACGAACGAACGAATAAACAAACACATTTTCACATTTATAATATTATTATAGAAGAATGATAAAAAGAAAAATCTTACTTACATAACTTTTATTGAACTCCATTATTGTTGGGCATCTAGGGAGGCACCCGAGCGAAGCAAAGGTAACTCGCTAGTTTTATTATATAAAATTTTTACTAACAAATAATAAAAATTGGACAAGCATGACTTGAATTTGGTCTAGCATATTTAACCGGTATTTTTTTTATAAATGTTGCATTTAAACGAATAAAAAATCTGTTTAAAAATCGAAGTAAAAATCGAGTGGGGCTGTGTCCCCTGATACCACACCGCCATCGTTTCAACGAGAAACGTCACGTATTTAAGCGAGTCGCTTTTAGTGTTAAAGATTGAAATGAAAACCGAATTGACTTAATTCTAATTGTTTTATCACTGATGATGATGTTCTCCTGACCGATTCCGGCCACGGCGGCCAATCTCATTGAGACTAGCCAACTGCGCAGGATATATTATAGTGCACAAGTGTACGTGCAGATACAAGTGCATTCTCTATTCCTGTCACTCTCATACTCCGGTGGGACGACTGCTCGACACGACCAGTGAGAGTTAAGGCGCAGGACCGACGGCTTTACGTGCTCTCTGAGGCACGGGGGTGAAACACCGCCAACTTCCCAACTCCGGGCTGTTACTGAGGCTTACTACACAGAAAGACTCAATAACTAAACTTGGCCCGACCCGGGACTCGAACCCAGGACCTTAGGGTGTGCAGCCGTGCTGCGTACATGCTAGCCACTACACCACCAAGGCAGTCAGTAACCCACACCCTCAAAGAGGATCAGAAATTGAGTCTGCTTGTTTTAACACTATACTGACACTGAATAGGTAGTGTATATAAAGTTCTTTCAAGTAATATTGGACAACTATTTAAAATAGTTAGCAATCTTTGACGATAACAACGCAAAGAATATCATCATTCATTATATATCAGTTTTCAGACTATAACAACGGTTACTATGGCAACCTAATGCAACCTATTGCGTTACGGTCCACTTTTCTGACCCGTATGTTTCGGTGTCATTTTAAAGGACGTTAAACTTCACGTTGTAAAATAAAAAAAATTTAATGTTATAAAAACTACTAGCGACACACCCTCGCTCCGCTCGGGTTCGTCCCTAGTTGCGTTTTAAGGTTTAGTGTAGATTTCTCAAAGATGAAACATGTTCCCGCAGTAAAAAGTATCCTATATGTTGACCCAGATAACCAGCTATCATCATACCAAATTTCATCAAAATGCCTCTAGTGATTTTTCCGTGATGCGGTCACAGACAGACAGACCGACAGACACACAGACATACAGACAAAAATTCTAAAAACTATAGATTCGGCCTCTGTATCGACAATAATGTCAATTTCAATAAAAAAATTAATATTTAATGTACAGATTCAGCTTAGTTACAATTCTATTATATGTATAGATTAAAAGATTCAGTTTACATTTGAAACATTAGCTTAAGCTTAAAACAAATAAAATAATCAACCTCACAAAATATATTTTCTTAATGTGTATGCATTACAGTTAACACTTATTTCGTAAGATCTCTAATATAATTAATAGATTCTATTAGGCAATAGTTGTAACAAACATTTTAAATGAAGCATATCTGTCCAAAGTTGAAAGATAAACTATTTATATATGTCATGCAAGCCAATGACGGCCACATTGGTCCGCGTAAATATTTTTTTTTTAAATTAATGATAAATTAATTCTTATTTTGCTGGTTTCTTAGTATGTATGTAGGTACATATTATATTTAGAAATATTTGAATGGTATTCGACCAAATATCAGAAATTATAAATGCTACTCCATTGAAATCTTGCAGGCATTTTCGAAATTCATTTTTTCATCCGTATATCTTGCCAAATCACACAATACTGTCCCTTTCGACTGTCTAGCTATGTCCAAAATCAACGTCAGTAACAACCTAAGCTCTATAAGTACAATAGAAATATCCCCAAAAGACATAGAAATTAAATTAAAAACTTTAAATGTGAAAAAGGGCTCAGGCGGCGACGGTCTTCCACCCATTTTTTACAAAATGTGTGCAAAGAAACTGTCAACTCCTCTATTCTTTTTGTTTAACAGATCCCTACAAGAAGCAGTCTTTCCTTCAAAATGGAAGGAAGCGTTAGTAGTTCCAATACCTAAATCAGGAAATAAAACCGAAATTTCTAACTACAGACCTAAAGTTTTTTTGTACTATAGCTAAAGTTTTCGAATCCATAATTTATCCTGTTATGTATTGGCATGTAAAACAAATGCTAACTGATCACCAACATGGCTTTCTCAAAATGAGATCTACAGTGACAAACCTTGTTACATTTGTAGAAGATACCTTGAGTAAGATTAGTTCAGGCAATGAAGTCGATGCCATATACAGCGATTTCAGTAAAGCATTCGATAAAGTCGATCACGAATTGCTACTTTTTAAATTACAACATTGTTTTGGCATACACGGAAATCTTTTAACATGGGTAAAATCATATGTAACTAATAGGTCTCAGACTGTATTCCTTAATGGCTTTAGATTTTTACACTAACATCTGGGGTATCTCAAGGATCAAACTTGGGCCCCTTGTAATTTTTAATGTTTATTGACGATATTAGATAAACAATAACAAAGTCAGAATTTGCCTTATATGCCGATGATTTAAAAATATTCAGAAATGTAAGAAATGACGAAGAACAAAAATGCTACAATCGGACATTGATAATCTTTATGAATGGTGTATCCTTAATCGAATGGAATTAAATATATCCAAATGTTACCACATCACGTACTCGCGAAAAAGAAAAAATACTTATCTAATAAAATATAATATATTAATAAATCATTACTAAAAGAAATAAATGAAGTTAGGGATCTTGGTGTTATAATAGATTCTGAAATGAAATTTAAAAGCCACATCAACAAAACTATCTGTACTTGTTTTAAGATGCTTAACTTCATATACCGTAATACAAGAGAATTTAAATCTGTATATGCTTTAAAAACTCTATACAATGCTTTGATACGTAGTAATGTAGATTACTGTTGTGTAATTTGGTATCCCTACTATCAAAACCATATTGAAAGATTTGTAAAATTCAAAGAAAGTTTACATCTAGACTTGTTTACACTACCAATTCTGTACCAAACAGAAAACATATTACGTACGAGGGTAGGCTAAATCTCTTTGACATGGACTCATTATTAAAGCGCCAAAAACTTCTTGGGTTAATGTCTCTCTATAAAATATTGAATAACTGTGTAGACTCGCCTAACATAATATCTACGATAGGACTACAAGTTGCTCGCTCTTCCGCACGATTGAGTAATTATCAACCTTTTTATATTAATTTAGGATAAAATAGATTCGGACAAAACTCGCCTTTAAACAAAATTTTAATAGGCTAGAATGAAATATCTCGCAAGTATCCTGTTATAGATATATTTTCAAATACAATGTACAATTTTAAAAGAAATCTTAAAGATATCATTTAGTGTTATATTTCATTTATTTTTTTAATATTATTATCTTTTAAGTAGAGCGTATGTATTACCTAATTATAAAATGTTGTGCATGCCTGTAATTTAGAGTTATATACAAAAAAGGAATTTATTAACGTTATTTTAGTAATTAAGTTTGTGTATGTACTCTAGTTGGTAAGCCTTATTTAATAATAAAAAATAAAAAAAATTCAACCCCTAAATGATTTAAGGGATTGGAAATTTGTATCAACCGTCTTTATAAGGTTACACTATATATACAAGATTTTCAGATATATAAATACACTATCGGATCACCCTCGCTTCGCTTGGGTTCACCTCTAACAAAACTAAAAATAAATCTATCCCACGGGAACCGTACATTTTTTCGGGATAAAAATTGATTTATGTGCTATTTCAGACAATAATCTATCTCTGTGCCAAAGTTCAGTTCATCATCAAACATACTATATATAATTATATATAACTAAGCTTTCACATTTATAATATCAGTAAGATAAATAAGATACGCTGACGGAACTGCTGGTACATACTTTTCATATGTACATATATTTAGACTCCATATCATCTCTCCTATGCATATCACATACTACTTCAGAGGTCGCGTTCAATATACTAAACATGTGCTATGTCAACAATTGAACGCGGGCGAAGCCGCGGGGTACTGCTAGTCTCAAGATGAATGTGAGGACAACATGTTCTTATAACAAAATATATACTGAAGAGAAGAAGAGATCAAATGAAAATGCAAAACAATTCTAGACCAGTAATAATAGAAATAAATATGGAATGAGAGACGTTATCAATTCATGTGACAAAATGTTTTCAATGAAATTAAAAACAATAAGAGAAGAAAAATAAAAAAAAACTATAATATTCAAATGAATTTTATTATCATTTATTCCTTTACACTATATGTTAAGATCAACCAACCTCAAGCGGGCAACCCATTAATTAATTCTTTATAGTACAAAACTCCATCAACATTTGCCAACTTGCTTCACACTTCTCCTTCACCTTACTTTTAGATATATTAATACGAGTATATAACTCCTTTCTTTACATTTCCTCTTTTTATATTTTTTTTCCATTTCTTACTTAACTTACTGATGTTACACAACCCGTTATGCTATAACTATTGTACAAACTACATATTTGCACAAGCATCGAATTTTTTCAGCCTTATCATGAGACAGCTTGTTCTTATTATTCCTATGGAGGATGATACGTGTTGGATGCCAACTGCTTCTTCATTTCAAATAAATCTTGCCATCCGAACACGGGAACACTGATAGTCGATGGTTTGCACATATATATTCTGAAACGAAAAGATTATATTAAAAAAATTGTACATAATATAATTAGCGCCTGTCAGAAATAATTAGCAAACCTTATATACTACTAAATTATGTCCATTTTAACTCATAATAATCCTGTTCTTTATTAAAAGATATGTATATCATAAAGAGCGCAATCTATAGTTTTTGCTTTATTCAACCGATTAAAATGACAATAATATTATGATGTGTCAGTAAACTATTCGCTACAATGGCCATTTTACCATTTGGATTTCACACAAAGGTATGAGATCCATAAATGTCTATTAACAAAATCTTTAGTCTAGTATCTCGTGTATGGCTATAGCTACGGAAGTCTTGGATTTTAGTATTATAGATAGTAGTATTACTCGTATTAAGTATTAGATTGGGTTTTTGGGTTAACAAAGGAGATGCCCAGAATAAGGCATCAGCTTAAAAACAACAGTGTACAGTGTACAGTGTACACACTTGATGCATCGAAGAACACGCAAAGCCTAGCAAAACCTTAGGCTACGACTGATTTTCCAAACACACTTTGAGAGTGAAAGGAATATAAAGGAGAGAAAGAGCAAGGAGAGTACACGTGAGTTCGTGTGGCACTATAATATCCGCAGGATGTATATCTCGTCTCAATAGATGTCTCATTTAAGGGTAATTAAGCGCTGGTGTTGAAATCGGTAAGGAGGACATTAAGATTCGTTTTAAGTAATGAACAAACAACAAACAGAAAAAATATTTCAATTTTTTTCACTCTGGCACTTTAGATTACTACTTCTTTGTGCTATGTCAATAACTCTTATTCTCTGTCGAATCACCTCATTCCGAATCCGATCCTTCAGAGTAATTCCTTCACTAAGTAATTTTAAACTGGTGGACTAATAAAAAACCCGTTACCGTTTCACACCGTTAATGTCCATCTCGGCTCCGTAGGACACAGGATAGACGTATGTCGTACATTATTTGCTAAGGCTTTAGTGGCTAGCATGTACGGCCACAGATCCGGAGATCTTGGGTTCGAGGCCCGGGTCGCGCCAATTTTAGTTATTGAATTTTTCTGTTTAAGCCCAGAGTTAGAAAGGTGGCGGTGTTACACCTTCGTGTCTCGAAGAGTGCGTAAAGCCATTGTTCCTGCGCCTTAACTCTCAGCGCTTGTATCGAAGTATAGTCCCATCGGACTCTGAGAGTGAAAGGAATAGAGGAACCAAAGAGGATCAGGACTCGGCCTAGTCATTTCTAGATAAAACATTTACAATAAAATAGGTACTACAGTTCATCATTAATTTTATTATCACCGTCAATATCGAAAGAGTGGTGTTGGATCACTCGTTTGTAGTAGTGTGCAGAGGCACGCGGATGGCGAGGGCGTTTCGGATCTTCGAAGTCAACTTGATAAAGGCCGAACTTGGATCTGAAATCACAATGTACACATATGTATTCCACATTTAAGCAATGTTGTGGTACATTTTACCTTTTTATTCGTGATCTTTATTAACATCATCCTGAAATTAACATTATAAACACTTTTATATACCTATATCCATCGTTCCATTCAAAGTTATCCAGCATAGTCCAAGCAGTATACCGTGTAACATTGACACCGTCTTCATTGATCGCAAGCAGAACCTGTAATAATATAAGCCAAGTTATAATGTCTTACTATTTAATTTAACAAACATTATAATAGACATATTAAAATTGTAAAATACTGTACTGGGATCACTTAAACTCAGACTATTTTACGTGACACTACTTCTTTGTTCACATTTTTCAAAATGTCAAATTAATTCATTGATTCACAAAACAATATGCAGCAATAAGCCAATTTTGGAAGTATTACATTTTGCAGAAGAATTAGTTCAACATGGCCCTCTAGAGACGAGTAGGGGATGTTTGTATGGAAGTTCCACATTTTTGAAGTTAGAAAAATTGAAATCGGTATTAAAGCTTCTGGTTAATATTGCAGATGAGAATTTCCATTAGACTCACTGCTTATAGTAATGTAAATTATGTTATTTCTCCTAATGTTAATGTTGTGGTATTAAAAATTTAAATCTTTAGATGCATCCTTACCTGTTCTAAATGATCTTTATAATATTGGACGCGATCGTAATCTTTTAAACCAAAATCATATCCAGCGAAACCATTTTCAGTGATAAAAATTTCTACATCGCCATAATTTTTTTTCAACCAACGTAATTGATGCCGGAAACCGGGAGCATTTACCTAAAAAAATGATAACCATAAATATTCATAGATGTGGTTATGTGTCAATAAATTGTGTCTGTAATGTAAGAAAGTGCAATTTGTTTGCTTGAGAAAAGCGTTAAAGTTATGCGTGTGTATGTGTGTGTGCGCCGCCATACCACGACAAGGTGTACACATGTGAAGAAGGACCTAAGTACGTACCTGAGCGAAGACAAGTCGCTAGTTTAATATAAAGGTCAAACTTCTACACGAAACATTTTTACTAGGCACATGTTTTACTTACATAAAACCAATTGGTAGCAGCCAACTTCCAATCTGTACGAGTAGACATGACAATTTCAAACTCTGGATTTCCAAATAAAGGCCATAATCCGATAGGTTCCCTCGGTTGTGCTTTGTGAGCTATACGAGATGTGTAGTAGTTGAAACCGTAGAAGTCATATGTTCCTGGAAACAACCATTAATTATAGTTGTCATTGGTAAAAGGGAAAGATAGAGACGGAAGAAGAAGAAGATAACTAAGTTATATTTTCTAGAAGCAGTGAAGTAGATTTAAGTAGTTAAAAGATCGAGTACCTTTAATTAAATTAATTTCTTCCTTGGTGAATGGTGGTAATCGAGATTGGGTTCGGCCTTCCTTTTTAGACTTTTTAGCCATTATTGCCTCAACCATTGGTGGCCAACCACCTTCTTTAGAAAAAATAGGGTGTGAGTACATCCCGGCCTGAAAGATTGTTGTCATATTTAGATATGCCGCTGCCTTAAACTGCGTACCTTTCGATGTTATGATATACTAAATAGAAATATTTAATTGCACTCATGTATGTATGTATTGTCAATGGGTGTTTTGTCAATGTAATGTAAATAATATTTATATTTATTACAGTATGAATATAATTATTATTTAGTATTATTTCAATTATTATTTATATCTATGGCATGAGATGCATCGTGTATCACACCTTGCAAATTGGTCATAGTTCCGTAGCTTACAATAAACTTTGTATGTTTATATGTTAAAAGTAAAAAGTTAGCACAGAAGTTTTGAAATACCATAAGTTGCCTTGCAAGTTCTGCTGTATCTTCGTCACTTTCATTCCTTGCTTCCACCCATAAAATTTGGTTGGTGAGAGATACTTTTCCTATAATAATAAAAAGTATTAAAAAAATGTATGATATAAAAAAAAAGATATTTGTAAAAGTGTTTGAAAAAAACACAATCTTTTCCATGAAAACATAAGAGAAATTCTCTGAAAATCATTTTGGGTAACATTAAAATTAGGTCTTTAACTTTAAAACTGTCTAATATTTATTACGAAACAGTGAAATTAGAAATATATTGAATTATATACATCTATAAATAATAAAAAAAACTATGGAAATATTGTTTCGTTTGAAATCATCATTTCTACTAATAAAAAATAGACTAATATTTATAAAATATTTGTGACTAACCATGATATTTGGGTCTGAACTCCTTGTCGTATATTCTCCATGCCTTCGCGTGAGCAAGCAAGGTGTTCTTATTGCACATGAAGTTACCGATCCCTGGACTAACAATTCCTGGTGCATGCACCCCCATACTGTAGGCAACCTCACAGAAAACAATAGGCTCGTTCAAAGTTATCCAGATTTTGACGCGGTCAGCAAACAACGAGAAGACAACACGAGCGTATTCAGCAAACCAGTCTGATATTAGAGGGTTGGTCCATCCTCCTAAAAGTCAATTTTAAATATATCACATCTCTATTTTTTTCTGATTCTTTAAATGCGAAAATAACACAATATTTTGAACATTACAAGCATATAATTTGGCAAATATTGCTTTCAATAAAATTATCTTACCCAGATCTTGCAAAGACTGTGGTAAGTCCCAATGGTACATAGTTATAACAGGTTCTATTCCTTTGTCAAGTAAAGCGTTAATTAAATTATTATAGTAATTCTTTCCATCTTCGCTTACATAGTTTGAAAATCCTTTGGGCATCAATCTTGTCCAACCTATAGAAAACCTGAAATTATATTTAGATTTATTATGTAAAGGTAGATAATATTAGTCAGTACTCATATTATTGAAATATTTTCTCAATATTTTTCTGCTATTTAAGTATAATGCTTCTGCATTATATGCGCAATATCTTTACCATACTGTTAAGCAAGAGCAATAATATCTTTACAATTGGTAGTGGTAGCTCAGTTGTAATAAGCTCGCTTAGAAAACTAAGTAAAGCAAGTTCAAAACCCACGTATCAGATCTCTGATGTTTTCATGTATGAATTATTTTCAACACGATTGATTACTAAATTGCTAAAATATAAATAATAACGGATAATATAATAAAAAATTAGATAAGAACTACAATTGTTGTTTATTAACTAATGACTTGCTATTACTCTGCTTAGGTTTATTAGCACTACCTCCTAGTCGCTTTAGTATAGCGACTATAGTTACTTGTGTACTAATTCCATGAGAATCACTACAATAAAAAGCTATAATAAATCAGTAAGGTGAATTTCGATTAAGATGGTATTTTAGTAAAAAAAAGGTGTAACAGGATATAAGTAACCACGACTCCAAACATTCAAAGTTAACCTGTTACAGATTGAAGAATTAAAACATTAATATAACATAATATGAAGTATCGAATCGGACCACTATTATAAATGAGAAAAATAAATAAATATATTGGCATATTAACACACAGAACCATCTAGCTCCATGGTAATTTACGAGGCTTGGATGATGATACCAGATAGTTGATACACTACACATATAAAACTTTAAATACATACATATTATAAATATAAATATAAACACCTATAACTAGAATAAAAACATTCGTGCTCATCACACAAATTAGTGCCTTCAGCTGGACTCGAACCCGCGACCGCTGGCAAAGCAAATAGTCACTACAAACTGAGCCAAGCGTATCGTTCATTTTCGTTTGTATAGACTATACATATACGTGTATGTGTGTTATTCCTGAAATATACTGAAATGGCTGAATGGATTTGGATGAAATTTAGTAAGCAGATAGTCCATGAACTAGATAGAGTATCTACAAGGGCTACTGTTATGCACCAAAAATGTTATATTTACATTTAAATTTAATATTTACCTATAGAAATGCAGGCCCAAATCTTCTGCAATTTCCACATCTCTCTTCCACTGGTTGTAACTGTCGCATGCTACGTCTCCAGTGGAAAAATCAACGACATTCTCTGGCCTCGAGTGAACAAAGTGATCCCAAACACTCTCCGATTTATCTGTAAAAGATGTTATACATATTTTGTTGGAATTCTCTTCTTCCTATATAGCCTGCTAGCCTGCATGTGGCAGAATCATTTTTAACATGAATACCATTTCTTAATACGAAGAAGGAAAACATTTATATGATATATGTACATCAAAACAATGTATTAGAAAATTGTAGGCCTTAAGGCCTACAGAAGAGTCTCCGATAGTATGTATACAATCACAACGTTCTGTTCGTTTTGTTTCGTGGGTAGTACTAGCTTTTTTAGCCGGTGAGTATCTTAATATTATAAAGAGGTAAAGTTTTAGGATTCTAGAAAATGTAGATGAAAATTTGTATGGGGAATCAAGCTAGGGACGAACCCGAGCGAAGCCAGGGTGAGTGTCTAGTAGACTATATCTGTGTAATTTATTTATTTAGTTTTGTTTAGGTATATATATGTAAAGAGTTTATTTTATAACAAATTTGAAACTTACCGCTAACATTCCACGCCCCTTCTACTTGGTAGGCAGCTGTGGCAGCACCAAACTTGAAGCCTGGCGGGAATAGCTTACTCTCTACTACTGCGCATGCGCATATTGTTGTACTAGAAACAGAAACATTATGCACATTGTATTATTACTATCTATGTATATCAGAATTACTAGGAAGCAAATTATTTATTTTTTGTTTGCCTAAATAAAATATTTTAGTAATAAGATGTTCGAAAAAATTTTATAATACTGAAATTCAATAGCCATTTTTTTTTGTTCTACATGAAATAAAGTACATTGAAATATTTATACAGCCTAGCAGATATTAAAAGGGATGAATTATTTATATTTAATATCTTTATATAATAGAAAGAAAGAGAACAGTTCAGTACTTTTTTCTTATCCGTTTGTCAATCAATTTTCTTTTTTTACCCGACTACGGCGAAGCCTAAAGGAGCGCTATGTGTGAATGTCCGACCCTATCGTTCCTTCGTAATTACTAAACGACTTAACCGATTTCGATGATTGATTGATTGTGAGATTGATATTATACAGCGGTATTTAAAACTTTAGTCACAACACTACCACTTATGTAATGATGACACAACATCGTTATATCAGTTCAAACATTTAAAATAACATTGTAACATAGTTTATTTAAAACTAATGACTCACGCTCGCTTTGCTCGGGTTCGTCCCTAGGTCGATTTCCTATACAAACTGTCATCCCCATGTTGACCCCCTTAAGGGATGATTTCCGGGATAAAAACTATCCTATGTCCTTTCCAGGATCTCAAAGTATCTAAATTGGCTTAGTAGATCCAGAGATTACCCCCTACAACCTCACAAACTCACAAACTTTACCTCTTTATAATATTAGTATAGATTATAACGCTTAAAGAGATTAATATGAATTATTGGTTAGGAATGTTTGATATAACAATGATGTAAGTATAATATCTATGACATTTAAATTAAGTCACTTGTTTTAAAACGTGTTTTTAAACAATAAGTTTGAATAGAGTTATGTTCTCAACTATAGGTCACAATGGACTTACTACGACTTACTTTACTATTAGTATTCATCCATTTTTATTGTCCCACTGCTGGGCACGCCCTTTAATACGAGGGGTTCAGGCCATAGATCTTTCGAAAACTTGCTAGGTTTTCTCAGACAAGCAGATTTCCTCATGATGTTACCTTCACCGCAAAATTTAAATCATGAAAATGATTCGCGCACGAGAATATCAGAGGTGCGAGACCCGGGATTTGAACCCGCTTCAATTGGATTTCCAAGCAAGCGCGTTACCACTGTGCTACCGTTGCCTTCCCTGTGTTACTTACTATCGACTTATTCTCCTACTTACAATGTTACCCAAACGGTTAGGTTAGTTACTTCAAAATCACTTGAATGTTTTCCCATCTTACTTTAAGTGATTTACGGTTTAATTTTTTTTTAAATAATGTACATATATACTTTTGAGGTATAAAAAAATCTAAAATTAAATTTGAATATTCCTACTTTTTGAAGTTTGTCAAAAAGGGACATATTATAGGGCAACATTTTTAACCGACTTCCAAAAAGGAAATGTTCAATGTTAGTCTGTATGTTTTTTGTTTTATGTACATGTTCGCCGATTTCTCAGAGACGGCTTGACAAAATTGTTACTAATATAGTTAGAGCTCCAGTAAATAGAGGGGATGCTTTTTGGATTATAAATAAATAATTTTTATCGTTGGTATAAATATATTTCATCAACCTATAGGTATCTCTGATTGTGGAGTTATCACTTTCAATACTAGTCCAGTTTTCCTGATATCTTTTTAATCAAATCGTTTTTATATAATATGTTAATCAAACTATTTTGTTATCTCTACATTACGCCATTTAAGTTAATTATATTTATTGTAATAATTGTAATCATATTCTTTGATATTTACGTATTAACGTCTTTTCAATTTCTTACCGACTTTCTTAGATTTACCGCGGAAAATATATAAATATATATTTTAATATATTTTTCGAATTTGTTCGCGGTTTTATTTTTATTTCGATTTTTTATTCCTAATCTTTTGAATGTTTTACAGTCAGCATGGTGATGCGAGAGGTTAATGTTGGGAACACACGTTTGTCAATTGCCACAAACTTCAAATCCCTATAAACGCACGCTTACCGTAAATTTCCTTTCATTTGTGCATAAAAACTACCGGAACGATCACGAGTGCTTGTAAACCTTTTTTTTTAACGTTGGGAAATGCATTTACGCACGAGGTGTGGGACTCACCGGCAAAGCCAGTACTACCCACTAAGCCCCAACAAAACCTTTCCCCGTCTTAATGGGGCGTCGCAGGATCGCTTAAGCACTCGACCACGACGCCCCGACGGCAGGTCTGCCGAAGCAGACCACAACAACCATGGGGCTGCTCCAAGGTCCACTCTGCTATCAGAGAAGTACCAGGAGCAACCCGCATGATACACCGCCCTCCGAAGAGGGCCACCTCTCACCACCCACCGAAGTGGGCCACCTCCCTGTGCGTTTCTTGGCTTCACGCCCGGTTGGATTGCCGGGCACTACTGAGCCCCCATCACGACAAGGTGAACGCACGTTTTGAGTGCTTGTAAGCCTACACAAGCCAAGCCAAACGCCCTCTCCACATGTTTTGTGATGGCTTATCAAGGCTTGACAAGTGTTATGGATACGGCATAAAGTTTTCTTCTGGATGGTGTTTACATCAGCAATATTTATTAGTTTTCGATTTGTCAAAGCAAATTTAGCAAAATTTAGTAGATTTTGATTTGTCAAATTAATGTGTTTAAAACGCAATTATGACAACTCTACTTGTGTATTCTCAAAAGCGGAAAACGGGTTCACTGTTCAGGGATTCTCTGAAATAATTGAGACGTAATGTTTACGTAAGCATAGGAGGGGGGAGTAAGAGCTTTGCTTACTTTTGCTGGCAAGGGGGAGGGAAAGAAATTCTACTTACGTTATACCCGAATGGCCCATGATATATTAAAAAAATACCACTTTTGGAAATAGTGTCCAAAAAATTTTTTCTTATCAATACAACAACAAAAAAAACTGGTGATAAGCAGAGGAGAAAAAGTTATTGCACTGTGTTGTCTTTGCATACTAATACAAAGATTTAAAAAAAACTTTCTTATAAATTAACAATATAGTCCATCTTTAAGGACGGGATAGTTATTTTAAGGACAGTTTTGAAGTCACTGTAAACCTTTAATAAGTATTATAAAGTAGCGGTTATTTAATAATTATTAGGGTTTCGTAGCGAAAAGGCAAAACAGAACCCTTATAATTTTCCTCAGTCCAGCCGCCATTTTACTCGACTACTTTTGGACTATTGGAGCTATTTTTCTGAAATTATGTTGATAGGTATCTTATGAATACCGCTAGGCATTTTTGTAGTGAAATCATACAAAAATTGGTGGCACTCCATAAATGTTACTGAGGGGTAAAAAAAATCTACTACTTTTCATAGTTGTACACAGTGTAGTATTATAATATTTTCATTTCAATTTTATATAATGTATTCATGTCATGCGTTATATAATAGGTTCGTCCCTAGATACGATTTCTCAGAGATGAGATATTTTCTCGCAATAAAAAATATCCTATATATTGATCCGGATAACTAGTTATCATCATACTAAATTTGATAAAAATCTATCCAGTAGTTTTCTCGTGGTGCGATTCCAAACAGACAAAAAATCGAAAAACGACAAGCTACTAACTATATCGATAATAATGACTATTGCAATAAGATTTTCCAAAAAATATTTATTGTAGGTACCTACAGATTTGACTCAATTAGAATTTTATTATATGTATGTATAGATGAGTAAATACTTCATTTTTTATTTAACACTTGTACAATTTTTTCATTAGTATTAAATTAATTATTTTAATTATATTCTAAGATAAGAATTAGCCTGACCTGTTTTATTTTCAGACTCATTAAGACTCATTATCTATACAGTTATCAAAAGAGATTCATTCAAACCATATTTGTGTTGGTTTCAATTATTGATTTCTTCACTTTCTTAAACGTTCATTGATAAATGAATCGTATATTTCATTGAGATTTACGAGGTAAGTGCTTCTTTAAATTTTTTTTAAATAAAACTATCTCTTCGGATATTTTCGCGGATTTATTTCGATTTTTGTTTCCAGACGTTTCGAATGCTTTACAATATAATAAACAATCAGGGTTACGAGCGAGACTAAGGTTTTATATGTCACAAAGGCCTACCCACAAAATAACAAAATGAATTCAAAAAATACAAAAATACCACCAAAGTACCTTACAATATTTGTTAATTTTAATAATTGAATGTGGAATACTATTTATTTCATTTTAGCTGGTTTTGTGGTCAGTAGACAACCTCTTTCGAAAAAGTAAGCCCAAATCCAAGGTCAGATGCATGTTCGGTGGTCAGCTGGATTTATCGCTGGGTATAGCATAGCGCACGAAAGGTTTTAGTAGATATATAATACCTAACTCAGAGTACATATTGGCTTTATTTGAGTTGAGTGAGGGAGTTATTTGAGTGAGTTATACTCGTATTGGCTTTTCTAGCCGGTGTAATTATCTGTATAAATATTATAAATGTGAAAGTTTGTGAGTATGGATATTTGTTACTCTTTTACGCCAGAACGGCTAAGCGGATCTGGATGAAATTTGGCACAGGAATATAGTCTAGAATAACACATGTACTGCTTTTTATTCCGGAAAAATATACGATTTCCGTGGGATAGGTTTGTTTCTGTTTTATATATATAGTATAAAAAAATAGATTGATAGAATGCGATTTGATATCACAATTTTATGATGAATTTTGAAATATTTATCAAAAATTAAATGAAAGTAAAGCATAATACTTTTTCGATATCAGGCTTAATTTTTGAGATATCGCTTTGTTGTATTTTTGTTAAAACACCTATATTAATTATCTGGTATAGGCTTACAGAATTAGCTGTTGAATGAAACCGTTCTGATATGTAAAACACCTTTATCACGAAGGTTCTACGATTTAGATATCTATCGATTTATTTAAGGACTAGCGACGCACCCTCGCTTCGCTCGGGTTCTA